AAAGGGCCAGGGAAAACGGCGGAGGGGAAGACACACCATACGTAGAGTCCGATCGGCAAGATGGCGGAGTGCATGTACAGGACCACCAGGAGAATGTGAAAGAGGAGGCTCGGGATCTTTGATAGGAGGGGGCCCAAGGGTGCGAATGTGTCAGAAAGCGTGGAGCACGATCGAGAAGGCGAGGAGGGCGGCGGGAGGGGGCGGCCTGCGCGCATATGGATTGGCGTATGTGGCCGCATGCGCACCATGAGCAGGAGGGGGCGCGAAACAAAGATGAACTCCTCTATGACAGGGGGTTAGACATGGGGCAGAAGCGCAGAAGGAGGGGGAGAAGCAGAGAGAGAGAGAGAGAGAGAGAGAGAGAGAGAGCGCGCGCAAGAGGGAGAGAGCCCCTTCGCCAGGGCATACCATTCAGGGTGAGATCCACCCGACGGAGGACGGACTCCGCGCGGAAGGTCCGGAACTCCGGGTCCGACTCGCTGCGGCTGCTGCCCAGAATAAGGGTTTGCCCTTCCCCGGGGGCGGGGGAAAGATCCTCGGAATCCATGCGGGGCTGAGAGGGAGGGAGGGAGGGAGGGAAGGAAGGAAGGAGGGAGAGAGCGAGAGGGCGGGCGAAGGAGCGAGCAGGGGAGGAGGGAAGAAGAAAGTGCCCCAATAAAGCGCCGAGCCCTTGGCCGGGGGCTGTTAATAAATAACAGGCTTGGGTCCAGCCTTCCCCCGGTCGAAAGGGCGGTCTCGAGCCAGGCCGCCTGGGGGGGGGGGGGTTGGGTGCGGCGGCCGCATGCCTCCGCACAGGCAACCAAGGGCACGGGGGACGAGGGGGGCGGGGACACACATACCGCCCCATTACTTGGGGAATGCTCCGGAGTCGGCCGATCGCTTGGTCGATCAGCCACAGGATACCTGAAACATCTATTCCTGGTCAACGGCCCGGAGGGCCGAAGGAGGAGCGAGGGCTGCTGGGGCGCAGGCCTGTGGGACAAACATCGGCCGTGCGGAGCTGCTCCCCCGGCGGGCAAGAGGGCGGGGGCGGGTCACACACTCATACATGCACTTGTCCCCCGGCCCGACGCAGGACTCACCGGCCCGGCCTGGCCCTTCGTTGGCAGGCGAGACAACAACAATCCGTCGGCACTGTCGGATTTGGGCTTGGGCGTATTTCTATTCGCCTGGAGGCGGCGCGGGGGCTGGGGGGGGGGGGGGGGGGGGGGGAAAGGACCACAGGGCAGGACGCGTCGTGTATGCTCTTGTGCCTGGGTCGAGCCTTGCGAGAACGGCGCGACGCACGAGGCGGGCATCGGGGCGCGGGCGCTAGCCCATGGTCGCCGTCGGTACGGCGCCCAGGAGCCGGTGCAGTCGATCCACCTCCACCAGGACCGTGGAGATGTCGGCATCCGACACGCCAGTTTCCCGCCACCACTGTGTGGGGCGCAGTCGGCGTGTCGAGGGGCCGGTGGGGTTAGAGCAGGAAAGCAGGTGCCAGGACACTCGAGCAGGCGGCAGAGGACACGCACACGCTCTTGGCTTGGAGGCACCGAGGGTGCCGGCCCTCCGGGGGGTTCTTTCCCGACTGGGCTCAGCATGGCCGCATAAACCGCCGTCACCGCCAGTGTGATGCTGCGCGTGATAGGAAAGAGGGGCGAGAACCAGCTAAAGCCGGGGGAGATTCATGGCTGTTAGAATTTCCAAGTACAGGGTAGGCAGGGGAGGGGGAAGGGGAGGGGGGGGCGAGCAGGCGGAAAGGGAGGCGGTTCGATGGAGAGAGCTACGGGTCTGCGCCAGCAGGCAATCGGTACAT